CTCACTGTCGCAAGAGATGCAACTTAGCGTGACAACAGGCTGCTGCCGTGCTCGAGGATGCTCTTGTCTCGTTTTTTTTCTTCACTCTGCTCTGTAGTGGGTCTGATACTCTGTCTGCTCTTTAGGTTATCCCATCCAATACGACATGTAGTTTTCTTCTGGTATTATCCAATTTCTTCTCTTCATTTCTCTTCTCAAGTTATGTTGACAGTGCAGCTCAGACGTCAATTAGGAGGCCAACGACAGCTGACGCTGCTCACCAGTGTAATGGCAGCCTACTTGGCAAATGAAGCTGCAATAAAATGACAAAAGTAGCGAAACGACATCAAACTCCATCTACATAATGCACATGTACACTCCAAATGCAGAGTCCTCTCCAAGTGAATCCCTCGGACCGCTGTCACAGACTGAGTCCGCCGCTTTTGTATAATCACGTGACCACAATGAGCCAATCGAATACTTTGTACACAGGAAGAATTTTTTTTTCTTGATCGTAATCTGACGTATTTGAATTTCGTTCGTATTAAAATAGAAGCACCAAAAGTAAAATACAGCCTTATTCTCTTTGTAGTCAGGAAATAGTCTCATCACAGTTGGATTTTCGATATTTATTCCTAAAATTGAAATAGTACACAGCAAAAGAATGGCCGGTAAATGTGTTTTGGATTCCCGAAAGCGAAATGACATCAAACTCCATCTACATATTGCACATGTACAATCCAAATGCAGAGTCCTCTCCACATGAATCCCTCAGGCCGCTGTCACAGACGGAAGAGATTTTTTTCAATTCATCGGAATCTGATGTATTTGAATTTCGTTTGTATTAAAATCGAAGCACCAAAAGTAAAATACAGCCTTATTCTCTTTGTAGTCAGGAAATAGTCTCATCACAGTTGGATTTTCGATGTTGATTCCTAAAATTGAAATAGTACACAGCAAAAGAATGGCCGGTAAATGTGTTTTGGATTCCCGAAAGCGAAATGACATCAAACTCCATCTACATATTGCACATGTACAATCCAAATGCAGAGTCCTCTCCACATGAATCCCTCAGGCCGCTGTCACAGACTGAGTCCGCCGCTGTTGTATAATCACGTGACCACAATGAGCCACTCGAATAGTTTGTTCACCTGAAGTGATTTTTTTTTCTAAATCGGAATCTGACGTACCGGCATTTGAACTTCGTACGTACTCAAATAGAAGCAGCAAAAGTAAAATACAGCATTATTCCCTTTGTAGTCAGGAGAGAGTCTAATCACAGTTGGAATTTTGATTTTTATTCCTAAAATTGAAATAGCACGAGACAAAAAAAAATGGCCGGTAAATTTGTTTTGGATTCCCGACAAATTTTCTGGTCCTTGTCTGCCGTTTTGTTTTTTTAAAAAGAGAACAGATTGCATCTGCGACCATGCGCATCCTACGACACGAAAGGGAATTACAATACATAAAAAGTGAACAATGGCCAAGACACAGTGACAGTGAAGCACAAGTGTCAAAATAATTACAGGACAAAAAAAAACCCCAACAGTAATTCAACACTGCCAAGCTTATTGCACACAAAACGAAATAGAAAGGGGAGAAAGAAAGCTTTTGTCCATTTTTCTGTTGTTGATGTTGTTTGCCAAAATATATTAAAGAAATGGAGTGCAACCTTGAGTGATGGATGCTCCTTTTCGTCGACAATTTCGAGTTTCATCAAAGAATGACCTCGATTTCCATACTATTTTTGAGACCGTGGTCGTCTTGGCATGGACGAGCGTTTGTATATATCTTGTTCTTCTTCTCCCACTGTGTACCCATCATTGGAAATGGTGATCATTGCTGTGATCTGAAAACTCGTGACATTCCTCCCGCGCCTGAAGGCGGGAGCTGTTGCATATGTGGGTGTCAGTCCCACCTCTGCATTCATGATCATCCAATCACAAATCAGCGTGATTTTTGAGGGAAAAAAAAAATTATAGTGTGTATGTTATTAAAATGGAGCACGATTTTCAATTGAGACAATGAACGTCAGTGGAATCAGGTCACAGAGCAATTTCTGCCACCACGGTAGGCTTTTCAATTTCCTCGACGTCTGTCGCTAGATTTCTTGTCACAGTGGTGTGACATCATCAAAAGACCACATTGTGATATTTGAGGGAAACTTGTCGTCGCCTGTTTGTGTACCAGAGGAAGCCTGCTATTCCCCTCCACCACTGCTTCTCGGCCAGTGTTCCCAAGAAGAAGATGCAGACAAGGTCAAAGATGACATGTAGAAGAGACACAAGAACCACAGTGCACTGCTGCGACTCGGGGGGGTCATTGTTCCTCTTCTCACAGCAGCGCCAGACTTCCAATGTGCGGGTGTGATGACACTGCCTCAGGAAATGAAGGCCCCGCCTCCTCAGCCAGAAGTCAGCGTTCATGCAGACTGAGGGTGCAGACATGAATCGGGCGCTTTTATGTGTGCTGATGGCTGCTTGGAGTCTTGGTAAGGTCATCCGAAGCAAATGCCACTTTCAACTGATTTCTGACCACATTTGTTGCCTTTTTGTGACAGGAAGCAGCGGCCAGAGAGTGCACCAACCCGAAGGGGACATCCACACAGTGGCGGGTGCAACAGTGACACTGGAATGCAGGTATAAAACATTGGGGAGCAACGACTACATCTTCTGGTACAAACAAGAAGCCAACGCAGCACCTGAGTTCATCCTGAGCCGATTTAAGCTCGATCAAGGCAAGACGGCAGAAAAGTACGCTGACAGGTATCGCTGCAGCATGGACGCCAGCGCTCGGCAAGCTCCTCTGCGTGTCGAACGCGTGAAGCTCAGCGACTTGGGAGTCTTCTACTGCGCCCTGCAGCCCACGCTGACACATCCACTGGCCTGCCTGCACAAAAACTCTTGCAACCGTCTCATCTCGTAACATACATGGGGGGCGTGGCCTCACAGGAAGAAATGGGTCAAACTGTCGCAGAGCTGCAAGTTAGCGTGACAACAGGCTGTTTTCGTGCTGAAGGAGGATATTGTCCTGTCCCATTGTGGCCCAGCGGGCCTAAAAACGTACTTTGTAACTCAATGAGGATGATTTTTCGATTCTACTTGCCGCTCACTCGGTCATGAGTCTCAGATGTGCTCCTTTGCTCATCTGATTTCAGACTCCATATGGATTCCTTCTGGTATTTCAGTGTCCTCTCCTTCTTTCTGATCTGACAGCCTGAAGCCAAATGAATTAAGGCGTCACTTCAAGACATTACACCCAATCACGCTAATAAGCCGCTTGAGTTTTTTCAGCGAAAACGTGCCGAATATTGCCAACAATCATTCCGCTTCGTGACTGCTCCTTCAGTGAACTAAAACACAGGTCCCGGCTACACATTGAGCAGGAGTCGAGAGTTGCTGTGTCCTGCTTCAAACCTCACTTCGAAAAGCTGTGCATTGCAAAACGTGCTCATTGTAGTCATTCCTGAGTAGGGGTGTTCACACGGCAGACATTTGCTTCGGTGCTGCACCGATGTATTTTGTTGCGCTATATCTTACACCGGAGCAATTGAGTAGGGGTGTTCACACGGACAAAGCCACTGACGAAAGAGAAGCGTGTTACCCCGGTGCAGCCCCACTTGCGTTCACACGGCAGTTCCTGCAGCGGCGCGAAACGATAGAAAACAAAGAGCTGTCGTGTTGGTTTTTTTTAAAGCATACACAACTCAAGCAACTACTGTACAGACACGTCCTTCTCGGTCTGCTCGAGAGGCGTTCAATGACCGCCCCCGAAAACATAAATCAACAATGACTTCAATGACACTCATAAAAGCTAGCATAATGCGGCAAACAGAAAATCAAGAGAAGAAATCACAAAATAAATTCTATGGGGGGGGTATGAACACACAACAGAGGAACAAACTACACAAACAACTCCAAGACAGTCCAGTCTCCTACAAAAGGAAAGATGATGTTTTAGGGACTATCCCCCCCCCCACCCCCATTCTAGTTGAGATGGTATAACCCAAGAGGCAAGGGGCCGCTTGCTACTGTTATTGCCAGTTGCCATTCTATAATCTACTAAAGCACCAGTCAAACGGCATCATGTCTTGGGTCGTTATTAGACAAACAGTTGACGGAAGTACAACAGAGCACGAAAGCAACGCATTGTAGCTGTACGTAATCAACTCTTCTCATGCGTAGCGAGGCTACTCCCCCCGCCGCAAACGAGCATTTGCTGTGGGGCAAATTTTTAACCATGTCGC